TGTTTTCTGGGACGGATTCCTCGCTTCACAGGCACCGAAAATGGCCGCCCTATGGAGGATCTTCGCTGGATGGTGAGTTTCCAGCCCATTGGAATGCATTGAAGGGGATTCAGTGCATTTCAATGGGCTTTTTATTTTCGCATTACGACGTTTTCGTTCTACAGCGATTTTGCTGGAACAAATTAACGTCATAATGCGAGGCACCACTGTATTGGGGGCTATGCAGATCACAGCAGTGCTACCCTTTGGCATCATGTTTTGAACAATGTTTGTTTGTTTGCCACCTCATTAGTGCAAGCTTTAGAAGACGTTAAAATTCACAAACCCTCCATACATCACAATAACAAAAAAATACAATTAAAAAATAATATAGCACTACAATAGACAGTCATTAAGCCATAGATATGAATAACCATACAAACAAACTAAAAGAGATTAAAACTAATCCTGTGACAACTTTCACAGGATTCAGTTGTTAAAGGCGGTTTTAAATCATTCAGCCTTTACCATCTTTCTGAATGGAGGAAGGAAAGAGGCCTGGAATATCTTTGTTGGCATTTTATTCAAGAGACTAGGGGCCCCAGTTGAAAAAGCACAATTCCTTTTACAGTATTCATCTTTTTGGCTTTCCTCAGTGTAGCAACTTTTTACAACATGGATTGAGAAGAGTGGGGCAGGACAGCTGATTTCAGAGAGACATTCTGACAGCTATCAAGGTTCTAAACCATTAAGGGCATCAGAAGTCAAAACGAACATGTTGACTTCAGCAGGGAAACTAGCCGGGAGCCCTTGAAGGTCCACCACAACTGGGGATATGGGATCAAATTGACTCATCCTGGTAATCAATCTAGCCATTGCATTTTGTACCCGCTGAGGTTTCCATACTGATTTCAAGGGCAACCCTATGTAGAGAGCATTACAGTAGTCTAGTGTTAAGAATAACTGTGGCACAGTGAATAAACTGCAGTGCTGTAGTTAAGCCTATGCTCACGTCCTGAGTTTGATCCCAGCTGGTTCAGGTAGCCAGCTCATGGCAGCCTTCCATCCTTCCAAGGCTGGTGAAATAAGTACCCAGCTCACAGGGGCGAGGGGGCTGTGGCGGAAAGTGTTCCTTGCATTAACTATTGTTGTAAACTGCCCAGAGAGTGCTCTAGCACTGTGGGGCGGTCTATAAGTCGAAACAACAACAATAATACATGCATGTTTGTCCAATGCAGCCTGGATAGATCATCTGTACCAATACCTTCATATCAGAGTTCAATAACGCCCAATATTCACCTGCAGAAGAGGTGTAGGCATCTGAAGATGAGGAACGGAATTTCAAAGATTATAAGCCTTAGCCAGTTGCGCATGCTCAGCGCAAGTCATCAGCCGGCAAGAATTTGCCATCAATGTCTTTCAGGGCTGGCACTTAGAATCACCAGGATCTTCCTGCAGCCATTCAGGCAAGTGCAAATATGTACCTCTTGGTCCCGGGTGCTTTCTAGTTCAGCAGCCACCATCACAAGCTTGGCTTGTGCTGGACACAGTGTTCCCGGCTCAGTTGGAGCAGCAGGAGGAGCAGACGCGTGACCTTCTGGCCTGGTGGCTGCGGGGTACCTCTGTCCCGGAACCAATGGTGGCATCCGCCCGAGAATGGAAGCGAGAGCCTTGCTTACCGCCTGGATGGTGGGAGGAGGAGGCCTTAATAACCACAAATAACACATATTCATTGCTCTGACCCTGACTGGCCCATCCTTCGGTGAATTAAATCCTGCTTGTTATCTCACAAGCATGATCATCCTGCTTGTGCTGGAAGGGAAACTTGCCCTTGCAGGATGTGACCAAGGTTAGGCCGTGGATAGGAACTCAGACGTATCGGGCAGCCCTTATGTTTTATTCATTTATTTAGAATATTTTTTTAACCCAGCCTTTCTGCTTAGACAGGACCCACAACAGCTCGTACATCATTAAAAGAGATCAGACCCTGGGAATAGCCTCATTTCACCAGGTTAATCTTTGCTGCGTTGGGCATCGAGGTGAAAATTACTCTGAGGCCTCTTCAAGTTGACAAGCTTTCCAGCAGTGGAGCAGCTCCAAAAAGAGAGGCTGTGGGCTTTCTGTCTCTGCCCACCCCCTGCCCCCTCCCCATGTTGATTTGGAGAGCAGCGAAAGGTTTTGTGGTTCCCTGAAGCCGTGTGTTGCCCTTCCTTTCACCTTCCTGTCTTGCTGCTGTTAACAAGCCGAACTGAGCTGGGAAAACAGGATGCGTTCTTTCTCTCCACCCAACCTTTGCTGGGTTTTCTATTCCCTGTTAGTATGTTTGCCTGCCAGGAGCCAATCCTTAAACTCTACGCTTTTAACATATTGCAGTATACTTAATATATGCTGTTGTTTGCCGCAACAAGCCGAAAGCTACTCCCGGGATATTTTTAGTTATTTCTGTCCCAAAGCAGCTTGAACCTGAGGCCACAGAATCTATGACAGATCTGGACAATTTCTTCAGGCCCAGGGACCATCTCCCAACTATCTAGCCTGAAACCTGTTAAGGGCTGCTGATAAAATTGGCCACAGCAGCGAAAACCAATCTCCACTTTTTACCCTGTAAACAGAGTCCCACTGAATCTGTTCATCTTCTCTCAGAGGGTAAAAGCCATCCTAGAAGCTACCTAGAAGCAGCCTTTTCCATGGAAACCATGTTAGTGTGTCAAGATGTGAAATTCTGAATGTATAAAGTGTTAGAATGATTAAGAGGGGGTATAGAAAAAAAGAGCCTTGAAAATGGAAGTGTTTTTGAAAATGAGACTTGAACAGTGGTATACTAAAAGTGTTTGCAAAACAATTCACCTGTTTTCCACTAAACCTGGGAACAAAGTCACAGTGCAGTAACACTGCCTTTCGAAGGAATTACCACATTCATGGATTACAGTCAAGCTGTGGGAGAGAATTGAAAACATATTGAAATAAGTAGAACGTGTTTATGGAGGCATTCAAGAAAAACTTAAATAATCACCTGGCAGACTCCTTTGGTTTGTATTCTTGTATTAAGCAGGGGGTTGGACTTGATGGCCTTGTAGGCCCCTTCCAACTTCACTTTTCTATGAATCTATGTTGCAGTGTGTTAACAATGCCAGAGATGATGTTTCCAGATCCTATAACTTGCACCATTTGACGCTACAGCACTCTGGTGTTACAGTACCTTGGTGTACCAAATCTTTTCTGTTACATGCCTTTATCCCTCCAGGCTTTGTGAATTTTATTCACAACAATTATGTTTATCATCATAGTGGCGGCCTGCTAGATTCTGAGTTACAAGCTCTTGTAACTACAGGAGGTATAGGGACAATAGAAATATATAAAGCGAAAAGAGTGCTGCTTATGTAATAGAAATCTCTATTACATTTTCCCACCTTGGTGCATCAGACTCCTATAAATTGCAGGTCTTGGAAAACAGATTTTTGACAGATTGGGGAAAAGATGTGGACATCTGAGAAAAATATAAATAGATATAGGAAGACAGGAGACACATGCAAGCACAAGAAAGCAACACAACTCCATACTATGCTCTACAAACTGGATACCAACAACACTGATATTGGGTAGATGAATTTGGATTGGATTGGAGATGATTGTCTGATTTCATTCTGATTTCATTAACTCTTTTGGGGGGATAAATGCCAGCTGTGATGAACACAGGCTTCTGATCTTTTCCTTAAAGGTCTATAAATTTCTTTAGGTTCTTGGGGATATGGTCAGGCTTCAGACTGTCTGACCTGACAGGTGTCCCTTGTTTGCAAGACTGCCAGCACCTCCAGAAGGATTCTGAGAGCGCTAAAACCTCTCAGTGATGGTATGCATATCATGCAGGGTCTCTTCACTGTTAAGAAGCGGAGGAACAGTTTTGTGGGGTTGTTTTGTTTTGTTTTGTTTTTGCAACTGCTGCTGTTTTGTGATGAGATGTGGGTCCTTCACCCTTGACTGGCAGAAGTTGATGTGTGTGATATGTCTAAAATGATAACTCAAACAAAGCATGAACTGTTAGATGGCTTAGTGCAGGGGTGTCCAACCTTTCACCTTCCCTGGACCACATTAGAAGATGAAAATTTGGTTTGGGCCGCACATACATTTGGTTTGGGCCGCATGGGGGGCCAGCCCTAGCCGTCCTCCGCAGCCCCACTCCAAGCGCGCTTACCGGCAGCTGTGATCTCAGACAGCAGAGGCTGCCAGCTTCGACTCCGGCGGCTTTATGGGGCCGGGAGGGGATCCCCCTATTGACGGGGATGGCGCAGTGCAGTCACGCAGCCCCCCTGTCCCGTCCCCTCCCACTCCTTCCTTCCCTCTCTCCCCCTCTGCTGTTGTGACATGCCCTGGCCACATTCCCGCTGCAAGCGCCAGCAGTGTAACTTGAAACTTTGGAATTTCTTTTAAAATAAAAAATTGCACTGGGCCGCATTATGAGCTGACCTGGGCTGCATGCGGCCCTCGGGCCGCAAGTTGGACAAGCCTGGCTTAGTGGTTTAGGAACCAGATGTTCAGAGTTCGATTCCTCACAGGGCCTCTTTGATAAGGGCTGGACCTGATGACTCAACTACCAGCTCTGCTGTTCAATGATGATGATGTTGATCCAGTAAAATAAGAAGATTTGACTACATAGTGATCAGGGGTTGTTTATAGAGTGCCAGAATGTCAACTTGGTAAGAGTTAGAAAGAGTAGGACTACCGCTGAAACCCTACCCTTGTGGTATTTCACAATTGCAATGTTATGGATGTCAGAGCTGTTCTCCTCCCCCCCCCCTTTTTTTGGTTCACACTGGAGTTTATGCTCAAGCATCAAAAATCAGAAGCAGATCACAAATGTCCTTTGCTGATAAAAAGGAGACGTACTTTAAGCCAAGATTGACACCAAGAAAGACGAGTGAAGACCAAGGAAAAACAATGTATAATCTTGCGTATTGTTGTGATGTCATTTAATCAGAAAGGAAACATAGCATTGTATCTTCATGTCTGCCTTCCTTCTGCAGAGAAACAGAGGGAGTTGGCTCGGAAAGGGTCCTTGAAAAACGGCAACATGGGGAGTCCAGTGAACCAGCAGCCCAAGAAGAACAATGTAATGGCACGGACAAGGTAGGGATCTCTGCTTAGCCCTGTCATACCTGAGGTGTCAATTACACCCTTGTTTGTTCATGCAGATTCTTTGGGGAATCAAGATGGGGCAACCGACACAGACTGAGGAGCCTTGAAAAGAGATGATGCAAATTTATGGCTGATAAGACAGGATCCGTGGGTGCTGTATATGCTGGGGGTGGGACCCCAAGCCTTCCAGAGATCACTTGACTATCGTTCCCGTGATCTCTACCATTTGCCAGGGTGGTTGGGCCAAGGGAGTCCAACATTATCTGGCAGGCCACATTTATCTCACCAGCAGTGTAACTCAGTGGTGGTTGTGGGGCTGGCAAGAACAGCGACAGAGTCATGTTTGCACAGAGCACTTAACAAATCCAAGATTAAAAACCACTTAAAAGAGCATAGGAATGACTGTAAAACAGCAGGATAGCAACTGAAATGAAATTAGAGGCAAACAGGATTAAAACTGTTATTTGATAATGGCTTTCAAGAAAACAAAAACAAATCAGAATTAAAAGCTGCATTTGAGTAAGAAGAATCAGACACACACATTCAGGATGTGTCACAGGGCTTGACAGCAGCACCTGTGAAAAGTATCTGGTGGTTTAGTAAGTCAAATACAAGATAAGTGGGATGTAGCCAGTTTCCAGGCTGCGTCACCAGAAATACAGCATCCAGACCCGGGAAGGAATGGTGGCCTGCGGTTTTCCTGCTGTGTTACAGTGGTGCCCCACTTGACAATTACCCTGGTAGACGACGAAGTTGCTTCACGATGAGGTGCGATCGCAAAACGATGTTTCAATGGGGAAAATCCGCTTCACAACGATTGGTTCCCTGCTTCAGGAACCGATTTTTCACTTCCTGACGATCAAAAACAGCTGATCATTGGGTTTTCAAAATGGCCGCCCACTGTTTTCCGGACCTCTTTTCGGAAAACAGCAATCGAAAATGGCTTCCCCTATGGAAGATCTTCACTGGACAATGAGGTATTTCACCCATTGGAACTCATTGAACCGGTTTTCAGTGCATTTCAATGGACTTTTTTCATTTGCTTGACGAAGATATCGCTTAACAGCGATTAACGGAACAGATTAATGTCGTCAAGCAGGGCACCACTGTAGTCCTCTCCTGGATTGATGCATGACGGTTCTCTGTTTAGCAATCAACAAACGGGTCTGTATCCAGCGGAAGCCAAAAGCAAGAGGTGTAGAAAACCAAGGCTAGATGGGTGGGGTATAAATTTAATAAATAAATAAAATAAATAAAAGTATGTTTAGCCTGGAGAAGAGAAAGTTAAAAGATAGTATGCTAGCTCTCTTCAGCTATTTCAGGGACTATCACACAGAGGGTGGACAAACTGGTAGATCCATCATTCAGAAGATGGGACATGATCCAGTGGGTTCAAGTCACAAGAAAAAGGATTTTTACTAAACCTTAGAGAGCTTCCTTGTGGTTTGAACTCTTCAGCAGGGCCTCAAAAGGTGGTGGCTCTCTTTCATGGGGAGCCATTTTCCTGGAGAGGCTGGAAGTTCTCTTTCCTGGGGTGCGGCAAACCCTGACTTCCTATGTGAATAGGAAGCTGGACTAAATGACCTTCGACTCTGTAATTCTGTGAGTTGGCACCAAGCATTGTTGCCTGGAAGAGATGATTAATCCCGTTCAGCCAACAAGAAGGCACTTATTGTTTCAGGTCATTATCTACCTCATCTCACTTAGGCAGGGAAACTGATTGAGAAAGGATTATATACAGAAGCCAACAATATTCCCCTGTTGTCTTTGGGTCCTCCTTGTGCACATCCCACAGGATCGGCATTGCTATCTTGATCGACTTAATTAACCACTCTGTTCTGGTCCAGTAATCTCTCCTACTCTGACTGGGCCAAGAGTTTTTCACAGTGTCAGTGTGAGAATAGTAGCGAAATCAGGAGGGATGTGCTGATGGCAAGAATTGCTCTTTCAAGTTCCATCTCTACCACCTTAATCTGTCCAGCCAGCCAAAAATAAATGGGTATTCTGGATCACTTAAAAGCTGAATTTTCTTTTCTCAATTTTGTTTTCTTAATACGAATTGGTTTCTCAGTAGTCATTGAAGCACTTTGCGCTGTTTTCAAGGGTTTGTTGACATCACGATGCCAGCTTTCGGCTCCAAAAAGCGCTGTGTTTCTAAAATAAATAAATAAATAGTTCTGTGGACTAAATGCAAACCGAACAGAGAAAGTGGCATGGTTGGAGTAACCAACAGTTCTTATACGTATTTAAACACTGTGGAATTTGGTCCAGAAAGGGAGAAGTGAGTACTAATTATGATTTTATCAAGTAATTAATAGGAACATAATTAACCTTAGGAAAACGTAATATTCCCAAGGTGCTTGCCTTTGCATATTTTATAAATGAAGTGACACCCTTTGCATCTGTTGAAAAGAATTTTGTTAAACCTTCTACAAAGATAGGAGAATCTTGTTCTAAGCCAAAGAACGGCAAGACCTTGTAGTCTAACTTCAAAATGTATTGTGTATGGGAAAGGAGGACTCCCAAGTAAGCAAAGGGCCCTAAAACAGGGGTCCCCAACCTGGGGCCTCCAGATGTTCTTGAACTTTAACTCCCAGAAATCCTGGCCAACAGAGGTAGCGGTGAAGGCTTTTGGGAGCTGTAGTCCAAGAACATCTGGAGGCCCAAGGTTGGAGACCACTGCCTAAAAGATAAAGAGAATTGTTGCATTGCCTTCAGCTTACTTGAGGACTGCTCTCTGTTGGGTCTGTTCTTCCAGTACCTAGTGCCTTACCAAACTCACTGAGCTCACTCTTTTAAACATGTGGTGGCCCAGAGAGCCACCCCTTCTATTCGTACATATCTTTGGTTCCTCACTGGGTTTCCAGAGCTAGGCTAAAATTAATTTAGCTTTGCTTGAATGATAATCTTATTACAATGACTGCTGTGGGCAAGAATCCTTTCATTTGTCTGGCCGTTTCAGTGAATTGCTTTTATTTCATATTCCATTGCCATTTAACTCTAGTGTGTAATATTTTTCCAGAGCTTTGGGGGGAGGGAAATCTCTTACCGGATTCCCACAGCCAGGCTGGGAGGTTTTGGTTCAAAAAGCTGCATTTCCAGGTTCCACGTTCATGCATGTATGTACATCTGCTGAGAATGAATGGATTCTAGATCTTGAAGGCTTATGCCATAATCAGTGGGTTGGTCTATGGGATACTTTGTACAAAATTCTTTGTTATAAAGTCCTTACGAAAGTTTGCAAGCATCTAATGCATTCTTGAGGGGTAGAAACTTTGTCGACAGCTTCTTCTTAGAAATGATATCTGTGAATAGCTAATGAACCTGTAAGCAACCAGAACATTTACACTGCTTTTCAAGTTGTAAATATGTTCTAAACAACTTATTATTTAAACTGCAAACCTAAAAGAGGCAGGTTTTTGTTTTTTAAAGGGGAGGTGCTTGCAGCATCATAGGAACTGAAAGTTAAAAGCTAAAGTTAAAGAGAGGTCTTAACTTTAGCTCATTTCATTTGACCTCTGGTAAGCTTTTGATGCCTTTGAATTGTGGTGTTGGAGGAGGCTCTTGAGAGTCCCCCTGGACTGCAAGGAGAACAAACCGATCCATTTTGAAGGAAATCCAACCTGAGTGCTCACTGGAAGGACAGATCTTGAAGCTGAGGCTCCAGTACTTGGGCCGTCTCATGAGAAGAGAAGACTCCTTGGAAAAGACCTGGATGTTGGGAAAGTGTGACGGCAAGAGGAGAAGGGGATGACAGAGGATGAGATGGTTAGACAGGGTCATCGAAGCAACCAACATGAATTTGACACAACTACGGGAGACAGTGGAAGATAGGAGGGCCTGGTGTGCTCTGGTCCATGGAGTCACGAAGAGTTGGACATGACTAAATGACGACGAAGCTTCCCTAGGAAACATTTCATCATCATGGTGTCATAGATAAAGAGGCAGTTCTTGAGATACCCCACCTTCCAGTCTTGCCTTTGTGGGTGGAAAGGCCACCAGGTGATGATTTTAACAAGAATAGGTTCATGTGTCACAGAAATACCTGAGGTGGCATAGTGCATATAGAGTGTTGGAATAGGACTCAGGAGACCTGGGTTTGAATCTCTATTTAACCATAGAAACTAACTGGGGGTGTGGAACTGGTAAATAATAATAAATGTGTGCCGTCAAGTCAGTTTTGACTTCTGGTGGGCCTTTCCAGGGATATCTAGATAGACAGTATAGTACTCAGACGTGGTTTGCCGTTCCCTTCTTCTGATGGCACCCTGGGGCTGTGCAGCTTGCCCAAAGCCACACAGGCTGGCTCTTTTGGGTTGCACAGCGAGGCATCTAACTCCCCGTCTCTGTTCCAGCAGCCAGATACCTAACTCCAAATATCTCACCCTGAAAGCCTACTAGGGTCACTATGGCCAGTTCTGACTCGACGTCATATCGTAACAGCAAGGCTCCTTCCGATATCTAGCTCCCAAACCTTAGGGGTGTAAAGCAGCATCTTGAAGGAAGTATTCTTGTCACCTCACCTGCAAGCTCTCTTGGAGTGAATCGGGGCCAAATTCCATTTTGGAGTGTACATGCAAAAGCAGTTCTAGAGATAATGTATTGAAATAATCTAAATTGCATGTTAAGGCTACCGCCGTGTGTCATTTGCTGCTTTGAGGGAAGTAACCCCTGGGAACCCCTGCTTTGCTGCTCATGCCAGCCTGGCCTGAATTCTGTACCCCCAGTAGTTCAGGAGACACATCATAGCCACCAGTTTGCCAGGTGTTTTCTTACCGTTCCTCGTAGCTTCTTCGGCTTTGGTACACTTTATATGGGCCTTCCAATATTTTGAAATCAAAGGAAACCACCCCCTTTTTTCCCCTTGGCTTAATTTATGCTTTCAGGGCTTATGTGGCAATGTCTGTAATACTGTTCTCTTTAATTTCAGGCTGGTGGTACCCAATAAAGGCTACTCCTCATTAGATCAAAGTCCTGATGAAAAACCATTGGTAGCACTGGATACAGACAGGTACATGCAATGTGTTAATTAGCACATTAAAGATCATGTCTGTGCTTACAATAAAATGCCGTTGTTACGCTGGGCATTTCCTAGGAACATTTCGCTCTTTTTCACAGCCCTCAGGTAAGAGCCAATTGACCAACCATGCCCCAGAGTCTGGCAGACTTTAGATCCGTCACATGGAGGTGGCAGCATTTCTGGCCAGCTAGTGAGGGAGAATTAGATGGTGAGCATAAAATGCTTTCTGCATTTTAAGAATGGTTTCATACTAGCCTCTGGGTGGGAGCAACGGAAGTTGTACTTCAACACCTCTGGAGAATGCCAGGTGGGCCAAGGGCTTTATTTCCCCCCTGAATGCGCTTGACAGCTGCAGTGATGTTTGCCTTTTCTTCTGCCTCGCCCTGTGCTTGGCGTGTCACACAGCATTGTTTCATGACCCTGTGAATGCATTCAGTGCCACATGATTTGGGGGTGGCCTCTGGCTTTCCCATTATTGCAAGCAGTCAGGCAGAGCGATGGTGGCGAGGAGATGTCAGACAGCGCTCCTTGGACACAGTCCTTGGGGGGAATCCCTCAGGCCAGGTGAGCCATCTGCAGGAAGTCTGAAGGAATGCTGGTTGGAGAAGGCAAGGGAAGGCATTGCCTCCCCCCCCCCCGTGGTTCCACTGGTATGCCTCCTGGAGACCGTTCGGTGCCCACCGCTTTGGTGGGGTGAAGCAGGGCTGCTGGTGCGCTCCTTACTCTGCAAACTCGAAATGACTGGATAGGCGGGGTATAAATGCAATAAATAAAATAAATAATAAATAAACTCTCACAAAGCAGCCGTATCCTGCAGACGGCTGTCTCCCACCTCCCGAGTCCCTTTTCTCCACTGTGCTTTCTTTTCCTCTGCAGTGATGATGACTTTGACATGTCCAGATATTCCTCCTCGGGATATTCTTCAGCTGAGGTGAGTCTCAGTTCCTTTAGCGCATTCCTGGGAGGAAGAAGTGATAACAGAAAATCCTTTTGGAAAGTCAGTGTCCCTTGATGGCCATTTTCCATGGCTGAACATCCAGTCCTGTAACCCGGGATCAGAGAATGGACCAGAGGGACCTGATATGGTTTCCTCCCAGAAGCTAAGCAGGCATAGGACGGACCCAGAAACTCCCACCTGGAATCCTGTTTTGATTTTTAGAGGCCCAGGTGTTACTGATAAATGTGTTCATGTCTCATTTTGTTCTCAAAAACAAAACAAAGAGTTGGTAATCAAAATGAGTAAATGCCAGCTACAACTTCAACATTTGTGATTAAATTCTGAGAACAGTTTAGAAAGTGCACAGTCTAATAGACCTTTTCTCCTTCCAGAATTTGGAAATAATTTGTTAAAATCAATTTGTTTGCCTCAATTCATTAACGTTTTCAACAAATATTTTGAAATGTATTACCTTAATCCTCAAAGTCTGTAACGATTATTTTCCAGTACCATTTACCATTTCCAGTTCAGACTATTACTATTTTAGTCATGATTACTGTAATACTTTTCATTTGACACGTTAGTTGACAAATTAATTTTTATAATCTTTTAATAACATATTACTGAATTAATTTTATCTGTTTTATGCTAATGTGTTAGCACTAGTTCCGATACTTCCTAACTCAGATTTGTGTGTGTGTGTGTGCATGCGTATGCGTGCACGCACACACCAAAGATCCTTGGTTCTCAAGGAAGAAGGCCAGCAAAGTGCCTTTGCCCAACGTTGCTGCCTTCCCTCCAGATGTGTTGGAAAGTGCAGCTGGCTGGGAGCTGTAGCCGAATATATCTGGAGCAATCCATGCTGGAGAGGCTCCTGTACTGTCAGGCTCTGCTAGGAAATTCCCAGGGTCCTGGACAGAGGCTTCTTTTCTCAGCTGTACTCATTGCGTAGGTTGGAGAATTGAACCTTGGGTGTTGTCCATGTAGACCAGTGGTACCCAATTTTACGTCCCCCAATGTTCTTGGACGAAAACCTGCAGAAGCAACATTCCCTCTAAATTTCTGTCCCCCTGCGTGGGAGCCTTGCTCCGTGTGTGCAGGGATGGGCGGGGCTTCATTCAAAATGGGAAGTAAACCAACCAGCTGCCGGCTGCCCATGTGCAGCCCCAACAGAGCTCTGAGCAAATGCGCCTGTGCGTCGCTTAGAGGCAGCATGGCTCAGAAGCCTTCCCCACCAGCTGAGCTGGCCAGGATTTTCTGGGAGTTGTAGTCCAAGAACATCTGGGGACCCAAGATGTAGAGGGTCCCCTGCTAGCCCTGAGAGGTGGGTTTTCCTCTGTTATCCATCTTTTGATATCAGGAGAAGATGCCCTTCAGTACATTTCTGTTCCATTGGACATCAGGGATGATGTTGGATTGTCCGTGTTTTGACCCATTGCTTCTTTGCCTACAGCAGATCAACCAGGACTTGAATATCCAGCTGTTGAAGGATGGGTATCGGTTAGATGAGATCCCAGACGACGAGGACCTCGACCTAATTCCCCCGAAGTCAGTCAACCCCACTTGCATGTGCTGTCAAGCCACCTCTTCCACCGCCTGCCACATTCAGTAACGTGGGAAGCTTGGCAAGGGGTGGCCAGTGCTTTCCACTATAACTGTAAAAATTTAACAGCCATTGCTTCCTCCTATGGTAGGACGTGCACCTCTTTGTGTTTATGGAGCCAGGAGAAACCAAAAAAATACCTATTCATTTTATGATCCTCTTGCTATTTTTATTTTGAAACGATGGTCAAGTGAGCCAAGAGATGCTGGTTGTGGATCCTTGGCCAGTAAGGTCCATCGGATCCCTTTGTGGGTCTGGGCACACCTTGTAATATTCATGTACAGGATTTGCAGAGGATGGGGGTGGGTGGGGATGTCAGCTCAGAACTGGATGAAATTGTTACAGGTAGCCCTACATGTCACAGTCTGCCCACGTTGCAGGAGCTGAGATCCAAGTCTGAAATGCAGCAGCCTCTCAGCGGAAGAAAAGAATAAAAGGGATTCTTGTTTTGATGAATGGCCCCGAGATGGGAGCAGAAGTGGTACGTAGGGTGCTTGGTAAAAGTTTCCTGGGCCAGGATAGATTTACAAAAAAAAATGGGATTACTGGTAAAATAAAAGTGGCTTTTATAGCCCTCTTCTGAATAAGCAACACATATCAAAAAAGACAGCGCACCATCTGGTAAGAGATCACCATATTCAGAAGCTTAGTCTGGTCTTATTTGTCCTGGACTTGTGTTTGTGACCCAGAACCCTAGCCAAGTCGCAGTCACCCTGTCGCCTGAAGTTCCATCAGCATTGCATGGGGATCCTGGCGGAAAAGGGGCTTGAGAGGCTGACACTTCATGCAGACAAGTCACCTCTTAGCCTTTGGACACAAACACACCCTCCAGTGCAACCGTGGCTGGAATTTCATTCTTAATTCTTCATCTCTGAACGGCCAGTTGGCTGATCCTGGAGCTTGTGCTTGACTATCACAGAACAAAACGCCTGGGCCAGAAAAGGGGTGGCTTTTTTTGCACCCCAGAGGCAGATGGAGCACCCTCTGTGCTGGTGCTCTTCCTCATAACGCAGTGCCAACGTTGCTGCCGACAGACACAGCCAGGTGCAAGAAGTATTCCCATCCATTATCAGCGTGGCTCGTAGGCTTGGTGCTAGGAACAGCTTCTCCAGGATAGTTTTAGCCACAGAACATCAGCGGCATCAGAGCAATACGAGAAGCAAATGGACAGGACTAGATTGTCCCCTTTTGGCTCAATCGATCTATTTTTTGAACTCGGGCTGTAGTGAGTTTTTTTACAGTAAGTCGATCCTGCCCCGCTTCCTGGGGCTCTGTTGAGCCATCCTCAAATGAGGACAGAGAGAGGACTATGGCAGCCTTTCCTATACAACGTGTCCCTGGGATCTCTCACAGATCCCTCCCCAAAAGCAGTTTGCCATCTCCTTCTGTCCACTGTACGTTTGTTTCCTGTAGAAACGACATCTCCCAACATAATAGGATGGTCAGGCTTATAGCAATGTGTAGAGTGATTCTGCATGTAAAGGTTGTTCTGTGAGAGGCCTTTATCCTTCTCAGCAGGGATCCCCAAACTGGGGAAGTAAAGAACCTTTTTTTTTTTTTTAGAAAAAGGATTGCCACTCTGATCTTTTGCAGTACTTGGCATCAGGAATATGTGCATGTGCCACAGAGACTGGTGTTTGAAATTAGAGGTCAGCAGAAACTCCTAAACTCCTAGCTGGCTACCTAAAAATGAGCTGCAGGTGGTAGACAGAAGCCTAGCAGACATTAAACCCTTCATTTACTAAGTTCTGATGACAGAGCAAAGTTGCCTTATCAGAAAGCCTAGATCTAGGAGAACTGTCTTGGAAAAAAGCATCCTAACCCTTTCTAAGAGTAGCTGTCTCGAGATTAACTAATCAATGCCAAATTTGTGCACACTGCTTTGAATTGTTTTTGCCCACACAGTCCCAAATTCCTGGGTTTCTAGTCAACTCAGTTGTACTTTTTTTTCTTATTCTACTTACAGATTCTAAAAAAACTCTGCTTCGAAGTGAGCCTTTTCTGCATCTGTGTGTAGAAAATGGCAGGGTTGGTCAATATTCCACTCCACACACCTCCCAGTTTGCTTGTGACCTGTCCTACGTGGTGTGTGCTCACGTCTCCCACAAACCTTGGTGAACCTTGAGGTTTTGCTCTCGTCCTTGGTCATCCAAGCCCTTGAGGGTGGCGCGGTTTTTGTGAAGTCGAACCAGAGGCATAAAATGGGGAGGAAAAAACACCTTTTGGCTTCTCCTTGCTCCTCAGCTTTGTGTCTGTATGTTTTCTGAGGAAGGGATGGGTACAAGTGTGGGGTGGGTGGGTTGTCACAGAAAAGTAATGCAGAGTTGCCATCGGAAGTGTTGAATTATATGGCCTGAAGCTTTTCTGGCTATCACAGAAAGCTTGCCAACGAATCCTGCTACATGGCCATTCCACACCTTACAGAGTCAAGCCCTGTTGTGGCAGCTTGTACTGTTAACCGGAGTCCCTGGCGGCTCCTTGATGAATGTACCTTTAGGATACACTTGTTTGCAGCCATGCAGTTCCTGCATCGGCATTCGCTTTTTCCATGGTCGGTGTACACTTAAGACATCTTAGGAATATGCCAAATATATAGATATAGATTATATAATGCATCAAGTGGGCCTGGGAGGGACCGCAAAGCTGCTTTCAAAAATGGAGTTCAGATCCTGTTTGGCAGGTCATCTTGAAGAATGGCTCAGAAGGCCTCCGCCTCTCTCTGCCCTTCCAGAGTCCACGCGTTTGTTCTTAGCACTCTCTTTTCACTTTCTAACATCCCAAGGGGGGGGACACCATAAGGGAGCAGGGATGGCCACTCCGGGGTTCTGGTTGAAAATAATAAAAGGAAGTCAGGGGAAAGGCCGGGAATGGACTCGCATGGCTTCCGTTGCCTGGAGGGGAGACATGGGGCAAGGGGAATTTTGTCACACCAAACAATTCTGTTTGGGAAGGGAGGGGCTCACTCCCAGAATATCAGACACTGCATGAGCAAGGAAAGAAAAAGGCCGTGCTGGTCTTTAGATATATTTGCATCTCGAAGCCCTCAAATGTGTAACTTGCAAAAAGCAGAAAAAAACCCTCCCCATTCCTTCCTCAGTCTTAATTGATGGTCTGTCAGATCTGCCATCACCACCAAGATGAAATATGGGACATGACAGCTCCCCTGTTGCTTTGGAGAACATTCCATTTCTCAGTTATCCTGGTCCTTTCTTCCACTGGGCTAGTAAAGAAAAGGGGTATGCAGATGCTCAGTTCTTTCATCGTGTGTGTGTGCGTGTGTGTGTGCACGCGTGTGCGTGTGTGTGTGTGTGTGTGTGTGTGTGTGTGTGTGTCCCCCCTCCGTCTGTCTCCTCATAGTAAAAGAATCCCAGCTGATGGAAGTGCTGAGCTTCTCTCCTGGACTCTGAACTTCTGGTCTGTATCTTTGACCCAGGCTGTTGGCTCTGTGGTGAAAATGTGCTCATCTCAACAACCTTGATGGCCACAAACATCACAAAGGCAGGGTCACTTGTCAGCACGCTATCATTCTCCTTTTTCCTGACTGCCATCCATGTTTAGGGATCGGTTGCAGCTACTGTTGATTCTGCTTCTGTGGGTTCCCAGCTGGCAACTGTCTTGGCTGGGAGGTTGCTGCCAAATAAGTTGAGAGGCTGAAGAAATTGATCCTAATTGGTATCTTAACCAGAATAGGAGAGAAAGAAGGGAAGGGCTGACTGCCACCCATCACTTTGGTAGGAAGAGAGAAGACCAGATAGCAACCGGAGTTCTTTTGCACCCCAGTGAGTCTTTTACAGTAGTAAAACATACTGGCTTCCATCTGGCAGAAAGCGGCCACTCGAGTCGGACCCTTGAATTATTGGAAGCCACAGAGGAACGGGCTCACCAAAGACCCACAGACTTAACCCCATTCTAGTTGCGACTTAACTACTCGATTTTGGCCACTGATGGCCAGACTGTGCCTCCTGCCGCTCCTACTCAGGCATTCTGGTTTTTATCACGAGCGATCTGGGATCAGAAAACAGGAGGGGAAAAAAGGTCTGCTATTTGCCTCCATCAAAAGGCTGTGGGAGTTACTGCTGGCCAGAGGCCAGCAAGAACAGGAAGTAAGTGAACCCTAACCTGAACAGTTTTCTATTTTTAACCATCCAGACCCATCAAGACTAATGTCCCGGCCGTCCCTGCAAAAGCTGATTTAGCCACGTGCATGCCGGAAGGTGGCAATTATGAAAACCGAAAGAGACCCTAACATATGTCTTGCTGTTGAGTTGCCCTGGAAGCCAAAGTGCACATTCTAAGAATCCAGGATTTCGGACATCCCAGCGCCAAAGCATCCTGAACAGTAAGAAAGGACAGAACCATGGAGGTGGGGAAGTAGCAAAGTGAAACAGCATGACTTCAGGATCTCCAGCACCAGAGGGAGGGATTCTTTGTATGAGAAGCCCTTTATCCCCTCCCCCAACCCCTTCTGGGCACACAACGTGCTAAACTGCAATATTCTTTTCCGTTAGATTTCAGGTTTATTTTCTTAGCATTTTTTCCAAATCGTGCGAATGTGGCTACTCTTGGTGGAAAATAAAAGCACACCTTCCTGCTCATTAACTTCGGGATTTGGCACAGTACCTTCTCTGCCTCCTGCCCTTTGCTCACCCTTCCTCTTTTCTTTCTTCCCTTTTCCCACTCTCTTTTTTTGCCTGTGGCTTTCTCTGACTTAGTACTCAACATTGAGTCCAGCGAAGATTTCATCCGGGTTGGCTTCTTGTGTGACATTGCCCTAGACGTGCATCTCAGTTGAGAGCACTTGATCCTTTATCTCAAATGTGTCTCTTCCAGGAAAGGGCTTCTGTGCCTCTGTAATCTTCCCAACATCTAGATACGACCCTATTGCTGGCAACCGAGCAGCTTTTACTTCCAGGGCAAGCAGGCGGTAGGAATGAGTGCAGGTTCAATCTGCCTCCACCAGGCTCAGGCCAGGGCCCTGTAGCCTTTCATGGAGCCACCCTGTCAAGAGAGGTGGAAAATGTCTGCTGCAGAGTCTGGGCACGCCAGTCCACCTTTCCCCCCCCCTTCCCTTTCTTGGCCAGGATGGCGTTTCTTTTATCCATCACTCCCGATCAGGCTTGTCTGTGCGGTTGGGGAGGAAGGAGACACTGGTGCCTCCAGCGGGTACTTTAAGGGGAGATGATGCCTGGCCTTTTAATTTGCCTCTTCCTGAGCCACACGTAGCTACGATGATGCGGCGGTTCCCGTAGCAACAAATGGTGATCTAAGAAGTCGCCCAACATCAAGGGAGATGTTAAAATTATGCTGGAAACTGGCACAAAAGACCAAGCCGGGAGGGGGGGGGTTGTGCTCTGAGAGAAATGCCTGATGCTCAAGGGACCATCAGTCTTGTATGTCTGTGGTTTTCTGGCACCTGATCTCTTCTTAATTTTCCATCTCCAGGGGCCCCATCAGCTGCCATAGACTGAGTCCCTGGGGTACTTCCGTGCTTCCTTCAGTCTCTGGTTCCTAATTTAAAAACAAAAAAACAAGACAAAAAAAAACCTGGGCTGACTTTATTCGTTTGTCCCGAACCTGGAATATAGGAGGAATGGAGCTTTTTTTTTTCCAGAAAGCCTTCCTCCGTCCCTCTCTTGCCCTGCCTTCTCTGGCATGACTGAAGTGGCTTTTGGGAGCTACAGTGATGGACACAGGCTTGGAATTCTGCATCCCAAGAGAAGCGCACGGCACGCCATGGCATCAGTAGCGGAGGAGAGCTTTTGTCCTAAAGGACGGTGGCTGCACCCGCTTCTAAAACGTGCACCTGGGCTGGAGAACCACCTGCGATGCTCCAGCCTTTAACATGAGAGCAAAGTTTTTTTATAAAAGGAAAAAAAATAGGGAGGGGGCGGAAGGATAATATCTTCTCCATGGCTATGAGATGAAGGGTGTTGTAAGGATTTATCCAGATTGCATGAAGTTCAGAATCACTCAGCTGTGATGGAGAATTCAGACTCAGGTTTTTGAAGAAACAGGGGTTTTGCCCGTGTGTCCCTCAGACTTTGCTGCTGAGAGAACATTGAAACCTAGTTTTTCCTCCTTTCCTTTGCTCTCTTGGCTGAGCACCATAAACCTGATGCTCTTTGAACTGTGCGGCTTCTCTTGAGAGGTCTTGATCTCGGCTCCATTTAAGGAAGCTTTTGTATGGTGGTTGTGGGGTTTTTTGGGCTCTTTGGCCATGTTCTGAAGGAACACAGCCAACGAGCCCGAAAAAACCACAACAACCATTAGATCCCGGCGGTGAAAGCCTTTGTGAATACAAGCTTTTGTATCTTAGTCGATCATCTGGTAAAGACAGGATCAGTGCCACACTGACCTTTGTTTTAGGCAGCCCACCTTCTTTCTCCCAGAAATCTGCTGCTCTTTTCCTGTGATGACCTGACTTTGCCAGAAGGCTCTCCGGTCTTAAGGGCACTTGCCCTTAAAGGAGGCAGAGGGAACCATGTTTCTTCCTACCCTGTGCATTTAGTGCTGTGGGTCAGAGTCGGCCCTTGGGTGCCCCGTGGAAAGAGGAGCCGAGCTCTTTTTCTCAGCTGCCGTTTCTCATGTGGTCCTGCTGAACGGGTATCCGGGAACAAGCGCAGAGAGGTGACTCTTCCGAGGAGAGAGATGATCCATTTGTGGAAGCATGCCAGGAGGCTGTTGCTCTGAATACTGTCTCACAGGAACCGTGTGCACAGCGCTGGCAGCTGGTCACCCCTGCGTGTGTGCGCCTGAAAATGCTCTGAAGCACAGTCCACCCCTGCTTGCCTCCGTCTGCTTCCTGATATGGGTTCAGCCAACTTGCTTGGCTTGTTCCTCTTGCATCACGATGGGCTAGGGATCACTTAACTCAGCTGTGTGTGCCGTGAATGGCGTTCTCCTGTTTCAGCCTGGTTTTGGTCTGTGTGAGAAAGCTGGCTTGTTGTTTCTTCGGGGTTGTTCTTCCAGAGAAGAACTGGTTTGGAAATAAAGTGTGGTCCTTTTCTGCAGACTCCTCTGTTGTTTCGCCTTGTCCCCGGGTTGGGGCAGAGGGGGAACTGAGTCGGCTCTGGAAGGCAGGGTTGTCCAGGTTCCTCTGCCCCGTGAAGGAAATTCTGGAAAACCTGCATAATATTAGGATCTGGTGATCCACTGTGGGGAGTGGGAATCTTCATTGTCCCTAAAGGAGATTGGGTTCTCTCTCTCTCTCTCATTCTCTCATTCTCTCTCTCTCTCTCTCTCTCTCTCTCTCTCTCCCCATGTGTGTGTGTGTGCGTGTGTGCTGTGGTTGAGGTGGGAGCTCGAAAGAAAGGCCATCACAGGGCACCATGTCAGAGATCTAGCATTCCCCAAACCACTTTTAAGCACAAGTATGATGGGAATAAGAGAAGTCACAGGCAATGAGGTGAAAGTGAATCAAGAGCATAAAAGTGTAACTTAGTCGTCACAGGTAAACCTTGCTATCCGTGTCCAGTGGTTAGTTCTAGACTCGCAAGACCTGTTCAATTGTACATATCCATCCTTCATGCCTTGATTTTCAGAGTTAATGTTTTGCCCGTCCTCTCCTGCCCGCCCCCAGCACCACCCCAGCTTAGCAGCAGACACGCCGAGGGGTGCTGTGGCGTTGAAATGGCCCGGTTGGCACTGGCCTCCCCTTGCTCTTGCTCTTCCTGCCGTTCTCCTTGCGGCAAGCAGAGCATGCGCCCGCCCGCCTGCCCAGTGCAGTCCAAGAGAGGCTTAGAGGGGCGATGGGTTGCATCTCACAGAGTTTGGGGGCACGGGAAGCAGAGCAGGCACGTTTCCCACAGTGCCCCTGGAACCACAGCAGCCTGAGCGTCGCTCGGACGTCTTGGCCTGGGGGTGGTCTCCTGCTGCAGCGGGCATCTGCTTGGACCCTGAGCCGAAGTGGCACGTTCGCCCCTTCTCCGCCCGCCCGTCCTTGACTCAGCGTTTGTATCTTTGAATCTATGTGATGATAATCATCCTCTCTTAAAAATCTTGAAGGGTCAGTGCAGAGTTCGTTCAGAAGTCCAGGCTTGGCTGCCTGTGGGCACCGAGCCAATGTGCACCTTATTCCTAGCAATGGATTGGTCAGATCCAACCCAACCTCTTTTTTTCTTTTTCTTTTTTTGCACATGCTACGTTTACAACACAGTTCAGAGGAGTGACAGTCCTGTCCACGGAAGCAGCGGGCAGGAAGCAGCTGCTCTTTTGAAACAAAATAAAATTATCATTTCAGAAAGGTGAGGGGAACCCTTTTTTTCTTTCTTTTTTTTGCACTATCTGTTAAACCATGTCTCCTCTCTCTTCTCTCCACCCACCCTACCCCATCCCTACTCAAATAAAGCAAGGTGATCAGGGCTGCTATATCAGTCCATGGAACTGCTGAGATGTGGCAGCGATGGCCCCGTGCCTGACCTTCACGAACACTCTGAAACATGTGCCACGATCAAATGCGTGTCTGTTCCTTTGCAGAGCAAGTGACGTCTTTTAGGGGAAGCCATTCTGAACAGATAGATTTCTTTCCCCCAGCTGGAAACACTTCTTTCCGTACCCATTTTTTAAGGAGTCACACTCGTCTGTGTCAGGATTTGCAGGGGCGCAAAGAGAAAATTGACCTAGCATGTCGGTGGGAGGGGGGGGACACTTCCTTTTGGTATTTTTCAACCCAGTACTCTTAATACTGAACCAGCTTATAAATTCCCATCCATGCTTTGACTCTTCCAGGTGTAGGACAAGAAATGCTCCATTTTAAATCTGTGCTTGGTTGTTTGTTTTTTCAACGAAAACCTTTTTGATGGGCACTGTCGTATCACCAACCTTTTAACCTTGCTGCCCAAGCGCAGGGATGATGTGGGTGGGGGATCCTCTTGTTTCGGTTTATGCCCGCTCCTCGTAAGTCAACCCGCATCCTCTAGCAAACGTTTGTCTTAACTTTTGCTTTCCTGATCCAAACAATGTAGCACAGTCCTATTTTTTCCCCATCATGTAGAATACTGCCTTAAACAGATCTGTTCAGTTGTGTTTCTTTTTTATTATTATTATTTTACCATCAGGTTTTATGTATTAATTTATTTTTAAAATGTGGTTTTTGGAAGACATGATACATGTATAATAATTTTTTAACATTTCCATTGCAGTATTTATCATTGTTACTGGTTGTGTGTAGTGTAACGGAATTAATATTAAAAAAGCATACCTATGAAAATGGTCTCTGCAGTCTTATTCTGGATCCCTCAACCGCCAGCGAAGAGGAAACTGGTTTGTTTTAAATCATTGCAATACTAGAAATTCCAGGGTTTTCTGACAGATGTGTACAGGTATCCTTTGCTTTCAATCCCAAAGCATAAAACCTAGTTCCTGTCCCATTACTCTTGTCACAGGTAACACACAACCAAAGTTTGCAAACTTTTATTGATTATGATTGTGATGGTTCCTGGAATGGCCCAGTCAGCCGGTCATGTTTCCTATGGGATTATGGGAACTGTAGTCTCCCCAAAAATACTTTTCCCAAGCTCCACACACACAGCCATACCTATACCGACCACCCATCTGAAGTGTTTGTCTCGGTTTTCTTGCCACTTTCCTACTTGCCCTGTCTCTCCTTGTTCATCTTTGCTGAAGGCTCAGGGAGTGCCATCTCGCACATCTGGAGGGCCGTGATTGGGGAAGCTTGCTGTCCAACACGGGTCGGTAGCACCTCTGGCCCTCCTGACTTGTGAGGGGGGGCTGCTTGTCTCCCACCCTGCTGCTGTTCCTCCTATTCCAAGGCCTCATGCATCTGGGCCTGTCTGCCCCCACCCCAGGGACTCCCCTGCCCACATCTGCAGCCCTGCTCCCTGCCAACTGTGACATCATGCATGATGCAGAGCCTGCCTGCCTGCAGCAGGAGGCCTTTGGAGCTCCTGGCCCACTCACCCCTTTTGCCCCACCGGCATGAAGCACCCCTCTCCCATTCTCAACAACCAACGTGGGGGGAAGAGTGCCAAACTAAATGACGGTGAGGCTCCTGCCCATGACGTGTACCCCACCAGCTCTCCCTGTGATCTGTGTGGTGACCTTCAAGCTCTCTGAAGCCCTACCAGGCCCCAATCCGCCATGTTCCTCTTTGCTCGCAAAACCAAGACTCCCATCAGCACCTATACGGACTCCTACAGGGCTCCGAACACCTTGAAGAAGACCTTTGAGGAGCAACCTATGGCCCTATGGACCGAGAACAAGTTTTTGACCCCGGTAAGCTTCCCTGCGATCCTGCGCTCTGCCAAGGGTCTCCTCGTGTGGTCAAGGTGTTGACTTGGGAGACAGGAAATCCATGTTCTCATCCTGACTCGGTCGTGAGACTCCATGGGTGGCCTTGGGCCCGTTGCATTTTCTCAGCATGACCTTCCCCCAGAGGTTCGTTTTAAGGATTAAGTGGAAAGGGGAAGAACCATGTATTCATGGTTGCTGGAGAAAAGGAGCAATAGAACTGTAATTAATGTAGATGTTGCTCATCATGGCTTCTGAGCGCTGGTGGAATGCAGAGCTTGAAGTATCACAGGGTAGGAAGAGCTGGCCTTGGTCACTTCACCTGTCCATCGGGCTCAGCATCCAGCCCAGGAGAGGAAAACAGCTGGGTACTTCTAGAAGCTCGAAAGCAGGCTCTGAAGGGGTGGGGGGGTGGGGAACACCACTGTGCATCCCATCATACAGCCATGGGAGATGGGGATTCCTGTGTGGATGAACAGCTCTGGACCATCCACCGGTTTCTCCAAGCCAACCATGACTCCCAGCCTGCTGCTCTGCAACGCCAGACGACAACAATCCGGTGCTAAACCCACAGCTCCCAGCAACAATGTTACGGCCAAGGGATTCTGGGTGTTGTCGACACATCTGGAGGGCAGCAAGCTCAGGAAAAGCTGGTGTACGTAAGCCCCTGTGGCCCTCCAGATGTTTTGGGAAAGCACCGGTGCTGCCCGTCCTGGTTAGTGCTGGTGGGTCAGCTTTCTGGGAAACGACAACCAGTCGCTGTTTTGAACATCAGTGCTGGTTGAAGGATTCCAGAGGCTCCCCATAGTAGACTATTGCTCCTTTTTTAAAAAAGAAAAGCTTGGGCCGGTCGTTCATGCTGTGTCTGGTCATGGATCTCCCACTTCACTGTGCCTCCTGAAAGGTGGACTTTCTCCTTTTTTTATCCTGAAACGATGACCCGGGAACGCCATGAGGTGACCCCCCCCAAAGAGTTCATATGACCATTCTTAATCTCTACTGAGTGGGCTGCATTGCCTTTGAGGGCCCGTGTGATGGGACGGATAGAAGGTCGGACTCAGATTGAGGAGGCCTCAGTTCAAATCCCGGCTTGGCATGGAAACTAACTGGGGCGAGTGGGGTGGAGTCGGCCGTGGTAAAACCACTCCCGAAATATTTCACACACCTAGGAAACCTCTACCTGGGTCGCCCTACGCTGAAAACAGCTTGAAAGCCTGCCTGCCGCCACAGACGGTCCCGATGGGGAAGGGGCTGCCCGGGATCAAGAGGGAGCTGCGTTTGTTTGTGGCCACAACACCGAAAACGAAAAGGGTTGTGCTGTTTTTTGGGCTCCGATATTGTGTCTGAAGAAGCCGATTATGATCCGTGAGACTTCCATGAGGGAGGGGGAAAGTTACTAGCCTTGGGGGCCACAATATATCCCTGGTTGGCTTTTGTTCTGTTCTGTTCTGCTTGTTGTTCTGTTTTTGCTTTTGTCACAACGTGGGTCTTTGTGGCTGATTCCCGGGGCTTTCCTGAGCCACCGTCTTCCTCGGCAAGGTTTGGCTAGCAAAGCCCCCGGGCTTTAACAAGCCTGACTTGAGTCTGGGCTTTGTTTTCCAAGATGTGACATAATTGAGGCGTGTGCCCATGGGCATGCGCAGAGTGGTTTTCCACCAGGGCATAGTCGCTACTAACCTCTCTGTGTGTGAGTCTATATCATACTATAGAATATTGTTTCTGCCTAAAGGCCTTTACAATATATGTATACAACCTAGAAGATATAACAAGGGGAAAGATGGTTGGAAGGTAATTGAAATAGCTCCTTAGGACGCTTGTCATCCAATGTATGAGCTTGCCTGAGTAAAGATCATGAGGGGAGGCCTTTCAGTCGTGACACCTTCACAGGTGCATCTGATGGGGGAACGCAGGAGAGGGGCCTTCTCTGTGGCTGCTCCCAGAGACTCTGGAACTCCCTGCCACTGGAGGCCAGCCTGGCCCCATCTTGGCTTTCTTGTCACAAGCAGGCAAAGACCTTTCTCTTCAGGCAAGGCTTTCCATGAGTGAATGGCTGCCTGAGTGGAGTTTTTTTTTTAAATGAATCATTGTGCCTTAAGGCTTTAAATGTGTTTATAGTGTTGTTTATGCTTTTTTGTATGGAACTTGTTTGATCCTTTTTAGTATTCGTAGACTCACTGTTATTTGCTTTAATATCGTCCTTTAATGATGTAAGCCACCTTGGGTCCTTTTAAGAGGAAAGGTGGGGTCAGTATTTTAAACAAACCAACAATCAAATGGTGTGGGGGAACTCAGTGGAAGACGCGAGAGTTTAGAGTAGAGATAGGCACAAACCTCTGATTTGGGGGTCCGGGCCCATTCGGTTTTCGGGCAAACAGATGTGGGGCACTTTCCAGCCCGGCCTCCTCTGACAGGCGCCCAACTCAGAGGCGGTGCCATGGCTTCCCTGGCCAGGCTTTGCCTCTGAGTGGGCGCCTGTCAGGGGAGGCAAAGCAAAGCAAAAAGCAACGCATGCTGCTTATATACTGCCCCATAGCACTTCAAGCACACTCTGGGCGGTTTACAAGTTAGTTATGCAGGCTACACATTGCCCCCCCCCCCGCGCGCTGGGCCCACCATTTATTGACCTCGGAAGGATGAAAGGCTGAGTCAACCTTGAGCCGGCTACCCAGGTCGTGAGCACAGTTTTGGCTGCAGTACAGCAGGGTTTAACCACTGCACCACGAGGCACTGCGCCACCAGGCAGGGCTGGGAAGTGCCCCACTCCAGCTTGGCCCCAAAAAATTAACCAGCTGTTCATGTTCATCTTGGGCTTGTGCGTTTTCATCATGTTTGTACAGCTCCCTACGCCGCTATCGAGGCAGCGAGACCCTGCCTTGCACTGGATCAAACCCAGAGTCCGTTAGGCTCAGTAAACCCACCACGAGGCACTGCGCCACCAGGCAGGGCTGGGAAGTGCCCCACTCCAGCTTGGCCCCAAAAAATTAACCAGCTGTTCATGTTCATCTTGGGCTTGTGCGTTTTCATCATGTTTGTACAGCTCCCTACGCCGCTATCGAGGCAGCGAGACCCTGCCTTGCACTGGATCAAACCCAGAGTCCGTTAGGCTCAGTAAACCCTCTCCAAGCCAAAGGCAAATCATCCGCATCGCCTCCACAGGTTTGGAGCGCCAACCATGGTTCAACAGCCGAGGATCAAGGAGATGAACGTTTTGTGTCATTTCATCATTCCTTTTTCCCAACCCAACCCCACCACCCGTTGGGAAACCTTCTGCAGCAAGGCTGGGAAGGAGGACAAGAAGTGGCTTCCTAAAGCAGGGTGGCGAGGGTTCGGGAAATTCCCTTGGAAACCTCAAACTTTCCCCCGACAAATTCTGGATTTCGGTTCGTCCTTGTGAAAGCAGCGCCCTCTGGTGTCCTGACTGGGCATAGGCCGTAAATCAAAGGCAGGGATAATGGAGAGAAAAAAGATGCTGCCTAGTCACAGCTGTGTTGCCAGGCCCTTCTCCCACAGGGGCTTTAAAAAAAACTACACACACACACACACACAACAAAGCCCTGGGCCTAGAGGGACGGCATTTACTCTCCTCTTCTAGCCAGGAAAAGTCGTGGAAAAAGCTCCCGTGCTTTGTAGAGGTCGCAGCCCTTCCTGCCCCATCGCATGGCCTGCGCCCACATTAGCACGGTGGCAGTGATGAGGGGAGGGATGCGGCAATGAAACCAAGCACCTTTGCCAAGGACTGATCCTGCAGCTGTTGAAGGGATGGGGGAAGCAAGGTCTATCAGATCTCTTTCTCCAAACAGATTTTTTCCACGAACCATAATCCCATGGTGAATCCTCTCAACTCTACATTAGACCACTAGCAGCCACAGTAAACAGAACTGAAACACAAATATAATAATTCCCTTTGTCTCACCTAAAGGTACAGGATGTGGAGGAACTGCAGCTCGCTTCTCTGTTTACTCTTCCCTCCCTTTCCCTCTCTTTCCCCCATTGTCTCCCGTGTCCAGTTTTTAAACTATAATCTCCTTTCAGCATGGAATGTTGCAGAGTTCTGAATTTCTGGCTAAATTCCTCTAGCTGCACATCAGCAGTGCGGGGATTCACAAAGCAGGATTCGCTTCAAGTTCCTCTTAGCAGTCCATCCCTTTGTCTCATCCGCTGGCACTTACCGTCTCAATAACTACCTTGCCTACTAGTTGGGATATAAATAAGCAAACAAAGAAAAAAGGAAACCCTGAGACTTTATTAGGAGAAAGGATAAAAGGATTCATTAACTAGCAGTGGACAGAGAAACAGCAAGCTAAAACACATGGCTGCTTTGAGCAAAGGGCTTCAACAGAATAATGCTTGCAACAGACTGACCCCAAGAGACAAAGGAGAGGAGGGGAAGCTCTTAACAGAGAGGCTGAATTCAGAAGCAGAGAAGGAATGACTGGTTACTACTGCTGGATAGATTGA